CTGAAATGATGAAAAGCAGTTTTTGAACAGTCTAAAGAAAATCACCAGCAGCCCTGTTGGGTTCTTAAGTGAAACAAAAGTCTAGTCTGACTTTTTGAGGCATTTTATGCTGGTTGCTGGATCTTAAAGGCTCATGCTCCCTGTGTTCTACAGCCAGCTGCAGTGCAGATTTATGGTTAGAACATCTAAAAGTTGCAAGAAGATGACTTCACTCTGCTCTTTGCTCCTGAAATGTGCTTTAATAATGTGACCACACACCATATTCTAATACTACAGAAACAAAAATAAACAGTGAATTTTTCCCAGAACCTTGTGCAAAATCAGAATTGCTCATTGTACTTTCTGTAATTTAGGTAATCCAGTGCTCAAAATCTTTTAAATACCCAGCAATCTGATTAAGTGTAAAAGTTTTCTGAATGTCCTACATGTATCTCCTTGTTTGTTTTAACAGGGGGAGACTGACAGAAAGACAGAGAAAGGCCTGCTGTTTTGTGCACGGGCACACTCTAGCAACATTACTTACAGGATAACAAATTGATTACAAGTGACCTTTACCCTGTACATGTACCTCCCCTCTCCCTCCCATATTGTCTGCGGATCAGTGCGTACATGATTTTGCAGTTCCAGATCATTCCATAAGTGCTGAGCATTAGAAGTGAGAGGATTGGCTGGTTTAATCTCACTCTGGTGGTTAGGGAGCATTCAGTTAAGTTAATACGGTCATAGGTGTGCATATGGCTGAATGCCCATATAGCGCTGCACTCCAGTGAAGCACAGCTCTGCAGGGAAATCAATACTCTAAGTCAGGGTACTATAGCACGTTTAGCAGGACAGCAAAACAGGGCTATTGTTTTTCTTAATGGAGCTTAGGCTTCCTCAGGATGAAGATGAACAAATTAACAATAAACAATCTGGTACCAGTGTCTATTAAAGCATAGCTTCTGCAAGAATTTAAGTAGGTTGTAACTAAGGGCTTTATAAACGATCAATAAACCATTCACTAATGCTCATAGATCATTAATGAGGGGGAATCTGAGTTGTGATAAAATTATTTGGCTGGTTTATATCTTCCATCAGCATACGTTGCTTTTAATTCGTCTGGAATACCTCAAGCATGCATTTTGGCATATTACATTTACTTATTGGCATTTATCAATTAAAATGTGAGAAACCCAAGACCCTTTGTGTAGCACTACTGACATTTAAAATGGCAAACATTAGAAAGTGAGAAAATCGTGACCTTTAAGAGTCCCTAACATAATTGCAGATTTAATTAACTTCACAACTGTAATCCATTAAGTTTTTTTGTCATTAAACCTGAAAAATCCCCCTGTTATTAATGGTTTACCACTGGTTTGTTAAGTTTTTATTTAAAAGTTTTAACAGTTAATATTGTGTTTGCTATAATTAAAAAAACAGCTAGTAAATAACTCATTAGAAAGTGATATTGTTAATGTCATTAATGCTCCCACTAATGACCAGCCTTGAGTTTGACATGAATGATATTCACCTAGCACCATCTAATGTTAATGACACACCCACACAACCTCAGCCAGACTTTGTATTTAGTGCTACTTCACAGTTGTTAGAATGCTTAAACACTAAATTAATATGGTGAACATTATACAAACTTAACATCAGCATGTTAGCATTTAGCTCAAAGCTCTGCTCTAGTTACAGCCTCATAGAGCAGAATGCATGCCTACAGACTTGTGGTCATATTTTGTTCTGTCTTGGAGTTTGTGTCTTCCAGATGCATGTAAGACAGCTTCTTCTGACTCATCCCCTGATTGTGTCAAAGCAATAGACAGAAAATGTTGCAGACAGGCTGAGATGGCACCCAACATCACAACCCTTGCCATGACCTCCATACGCAGTCTGTTTTCAATATGTATGTTGTCTGAAGTCACCAGTGATTTTCAACGGATGTAACAATGATGGAATCTGACAGGTGACACATGTTAGGTGAGAAGATGGATGATATGATGCTCAGACCTTGAAAGAACAAGTTTGAAAATGCTTTCACACACACACATTCACTTTTGGTGGCAGCCTACTTCGATGCACACACCTGCTGCCTGGGTTCATCACTCAGTAATAGTGAATGACAGGTTCAACAGGGTAAGAGTGATACGAACAGCATTTGGAAATAGTGATCTGATAAATTTTAAACCTAAATTCAGAAACATTTCTCCTGGTTTACCTTGATCAGATCTGTGACAGACAGTGAGTGCTGTGTCCTCAAAAAACAGGACGAAATCTTGTCGAGTTTTGCTGTGTATGTGTGCACGTCCCTTTTTTTTTTTTTTTACAAATGTCTGTCCATGTTTATTTGATTATCTGTGCCCTTGCTTGTTTGACATGGTGCCATTTGTGTCCATAAAGACACATCTTGGTGTATAGCATCCCAGTGGGAGGCCCTACACATACATAAGCAGCTGCTACTCTAGCCTTGCAGTTGACTGACAGGAAAAGAAACAGGTTGGAGCAACCGAGGGATACCACAATCCTCGACTGTGGCAGCCAACTCCAGCTTCAATTCTCCTCTTCTTTTCCATTTGTTTGTCTGCTTGTTGCTTCAGGTCTGTGTCCAACTGTTTGTCATTCTCAGAAAAACCTCCAAATTTCACTGAAAAACATCATCTATGATGTTTGTTTGACTTTCAATGATGCCTATATAAGAGAGCTACAGTAGGTGTGGGTTCATTCCCATTGTCTCCTCATGTCTGCACCTCGGACTATTCCCTCAGATCAGACAGCCAGTGATGGATGACTTAATTAAGGTGAAAGACAATGAGTGAGTGCTTTTCATTGTGTTTGGTCTCAGCGGTTTGTGACCAAAAAATAACAATTACTCTTTTAAAACGGGTCTCTTGGGGAAATGACACATATATCATTTAAAGACATCTATCAGGTCCCACTGAAATAATATACACACATGTACATCTTTAGCATTTAGATGGAACAGTCAGATGTGCCATTGTTTATATTTTATGTACATTTGACCTGCTTTAACTTCAGAATGGTTTGTTAATTGCTAATTTACTCATACATCTGTTTTTATGAAAAGCCTTGTTTACTCACAGTAAAAGGACAAGAGGATTATTTTGGTCTTTTCAGAGACCTTCCACAGTTTGAAAAATCCTTGGTGTTACTGTCGCAATTATAACTAAGAGCAGCAGCATCAGACATCAACACCATCACACTGTCATCATCATCATCATCATCTACAGAACACCTTACCCACACACAGCTGAGTACATGCTATGCCCACACAACCTTGCAGTGCCAGTAGGCTTGTTAGAGATGCACTTTGCCTCGCCTGGTAAGCAGATGAGAGCAGGCAGCGGCAGCGGGGGGGCTGCAACAAAAACCTGCAGTTAAGACGGGCAGTTTAGGAGCATAGATATAGGCCCGTGGTTTCCACCAGCCTTCAGTCTGTACACGAAGTCACAGATACATTCACATCCCATTAGAGCTGATCCTGATTTAATAAAATGTCATACAACCACAGGTTTCAGCTTCTACTTAGGGTCCAAACAGTTACTGTTTTAATGTCATTTTTTGATATGACAAGGAGGGTGATAACATGCTGATCACTGCTGATCTCCATACTATTATTCAAAAACTGTGCATGAAAATGTATACAGGCTACATTTCTCATACAAAGCAGACATCATATCAGTTTGCTGCTGCATTTGAGCTGACCAGGCTTGATTTGATATGAAACTGCATAAATAAATTCATAGCCATTGTTGATCTGTCAGACATTTAGCCTCCCACTGCTTCACCTCTGAAAGAATCTTCACTTCCAACTTCCCAAAGGCTTTTGTGTCACTTAATACATCAGGAATTAAATCAGTAATGTTCATATTGTAGAGCAAAACTATTACAGATTGTCTAGAATCTATGAGAACAACAGTATATGTAATGTACTATAAGCTGACAGTATTCAGTTTCTCTGATAAAAGTCACCATCAATCATCATCACATTTTATTCTCTTAAAATATAAACTTTCCCAGTGAAAATACCAACTAATAAAATCACAATTGCTGCAGTTATACAACAATTATATAACTTATCCTTAGACCCTTAGACTGGATAAGAAAAACTCCCAGAAAAGCCTTATTAACTGTTTGGCAGTATTAGGTAGATATAATGCAATCAGATGGGAAGAATATGAAGCCTGAAAGAATTACAACAGATAGAGCCTGAGCCACACAACCTCCTCTCTATTACATTCTAGTAGCAACTGTGCTAGTGTGTGGGCTTTCATAAAAACTCTGAAGATGAGAGTGTTGAAATGTTGTGTGATGCCCTTGAAAAGAAATGATAACCCAGTATTATCATTTATCAAATTTGAGTGGTGATATAATCTTATTATATTGTCACTGGGTAGATTAATTTGTCCAAATTAATGAATCTGTGTAAAACTGTAATTAAAAACAAAAACATTTGTTGAAGTTCAAGGCACTGGTAGAGGGCGCAGGTGGTGCGGCCGCACGCAGGCATGCGGTGTGAATGTCCAAAGAATGTAAAACAACACTGTACAGCAATGCAATAATGATTTTCCCTTCACATATGGCTGCATTTGCATCACCCAGAGAAGGACCTAAATCACCCACCCACCGGCTTTCACTAAAGTAGAACTGTAGCTACAGAAAAATGCTTACAGCCATACAAAATGTTCAAAAGTAGTTGGAAGCAACAAGTGAGGTCTGCACACAAAGCATCTTCCGAACATTTAATACCAACTCTTACCACGATACAAAAAATTTATAAATCAGAGCATGGTCACATGACCTCCACATTTCATCACATGACTAAAGGCCTGTCCATAGATTGCACTTCCAGTAAAGTGCAGCTTCTTTTCTCTTTATCAGAACGTGTGTTGTCATGAGTTTTTTTTTTATATGCAGTGAGTTGCCACCATATGTTGTGAAGAGGATTTTTGTGCTTCTCTGGGATTTGTTTTTGACAGTGTCGCTCCCCTACTGTTTCCAATGAGCTTCATTCACAGACGATATGAACCTGTTCAGAGAAGTGAGCTTTGGAGTACAAAGTATCAAAATCTAAGAAACTGGATCACTAACCAAGAAGACACTCTGGCTACAGCAGCAGTCACATGCCTAGGTGAGTTCAGTCATTGTTTCTTTGTGTCTGATGCAGCTGTGCATGTTTACTTTAGGCACTGTCCAGAACTGCTGAGTTGCACTGTAACTGTTGATGTACTCATGATGATGTTTATTTGGTTTATTCAACTACATGCATGTGTAATATGACACAGTAGCACTCCATTCTGCTGCTGGTTTAATTATATTCATGCCAATCACAGTGTCCATAGACGTTTTGTTTGTCGTTGGTTATTTTTGTTTGTGTGGCTGTTGTGTTATTCTAGTGATGCTACACTGAGGAAGATGGTGGTATATTTGTAAATGGTAGTCCAGTGTGTGCACAGCTTACCAAGTGTCCATTTAGAAAAACTGAATTATGGTTCAAGGGCCCAGTGGTTCAGTTTCTACCCAGGCCTGCAGCCATGTTGCTCTGCTACTGGTTCAAGGTCAGGCTCATATTTCACTTGTAACTACCAAATCTAAAATGTGTGTCTCTCTGAATCCTGCAGGTTTAGCTTCACTGCTGTAGTTCTGTGTATTATCAGTTCTGGTTTTTTATTTATTTATTTTGCTGCAACATCCCTACACAGTTTCTGCTAAGTACACATATGCAACAGTCCCTTAACAAACTAGTGAATGCAAAGTTCATCCAAGGCTGAGGTGCCTGGTGCAGGCACAGCCTTGAGCTGTTGGACAGTGAGCAGCTCCAGAGAAGCTAGTGGTGCTCCATTGCCTTTTAAGAGCACTAGCATTCTAATTAGCCTCCTCCTTTTAGAGCTTCTTGCTGTCCCACTATTTTTCTTTCCTCTGAATCCATTCTCTCTGTCTTTTCATTATTTCTGCCATTCATCCAAAATTTCACTCTCCCTTTCCCCACTGCCCCCTGTCCCTCTTTCTCCATCCATGTTTCTTGTCTTTCTATCCATTTGTATTATCCTTTAAATAATTCCCTCTGTATTGAGTCAGATGGCTGTTTTTTTCCCCATCTGAAAGCACAAGCCTTGAAGTTCTCATTCCTGGCAGCACTTGTTTTGCACTAGTGCTTCATCCTTCTTTTTGTTTTCTGTCTTTCCTCTGTTGTCAAGAGATTCTGCTTGCTGACACCACGTGGGATTACAGTCCTCCCACTTTTAATCTGCTGCCAAGAGACATGTGCTGTGTGTACTTTTGTCTTTTTGCAAACCATACTGTATGTGGCCATTGTGTCCACCTCTGGCCCTGTCATGTTGCTGGTCACACTCAGTCATTGAGACATTTGTTACAGTGTTCTTTTCTCTCTACAAACACAAGGTCAGTCTGGCACAAAGTCTTACATAAACAATAATTATAACATGTTTCCCTTGATGTTTGTGAATGTGAATGGACATTCTGTGCTTCTATGTTGAGCCGCTAGTTACACACCAAAACTTGGCTCAGCCTTTTTTTCTGAGAGACTGCTGAAACATTAGTATGTTAGTTTGCATCGAGTCAGATTCACCTTTTTTGCCACGTAAAACTGCATTTTAAATTTCTTTTCCTCTGCCTTCATTAAAATTCAATAAGGTGATTTTTATTTTATTACATTTTTTTAAGCATAGTGCTGTTGTCTGTCTGAGCACAGCCTAAATCACCAACCAGATTTTTACTTCTTTATTCGACCATGAATAAATGATTGTTTCAGATGAATTTCTGATGGCACTCTTTTGACATAGCCATCCATCACTGTCACTTTTTTCAAATAGTAACAATAAAAAATAAACAGTCCACCCACATTTATAAAATGACCAGGTGACATGGACTGTTTCTCCATCACTTCAGTCACTC